AAAACTGGAAGCATTCCCATTAAAATGAGGAATCAGACACGGCTGTCCACTATCTCCACTCCTTTATTAATATAGTGCTTGAAACTCTTGCTAGAGCAGTAAGACAGGAGAAGGAAATTAAAGGCATATTAATTGGAAAAGAGGTCAAATTATCCCTTTTTGGAGATGATATAATCCTATACCTAAGGGATCCCAAAAATTCCACTAGAAAACGCCTAGAACTGATTAACACTTTCAGTAAAGTAGCAGGTTACAAAATGAATCTACAAAAATCAGTAGCTTTTCTATATACCAATAACAAACAATCAGAGAAAGAGTACATGGAAACACTCCCATTCACAATAACCTAAATGAAATCTTGGAATAAACCTGATCAAAGATCTCTACAATGAACATTTTAAATCTTTATAGAAAAAGATTGAGGGAGACACCAGAGAATGGAAGGACTTCCCATGCTCATGGATTGGAAGAATTAATATTGTAAAAATGCCCATCCTACCAAAAGCAATATATAGATTCAATGCAATCTCAATCAAAATCCCTATGACATACTTCATAGAATTAGAAAAAAAATCATATTAAAATTCATATGGAAGCACAAAAGACCCTGGAAAGCAAAGCAACCCTGAGCATAAAGACCAATGCTGGGGGTGGGCTGGGGTGACTACTATATTAGATCTCAAACTATACTACAGAGCTATAGTCAAAAACAACATGGTACTGGCACAAAAATGGACACATAGATCAATGAAACATAATTGAAGACCCAAACATAAGTACATACAATTTCAGCCACCTGATATTTGACAAAGATCCCAAGAACACCCAATGAAGGAAAGACAGCATCTTCAACAAATGGTGCTGGAAAAACTAGACCCTTATCTTTCACCTTGCACAAAAGTTGACTCCAAATGGATCAAAGACCTCAATGTGAAATCTGAAACTCTGAAACTGTTAGAAGAAAACATTGGCAGTAACTGACAAGATATAGGTGCAGGAAAGGACTTTCTAAATGAAACATGAGTTGGTCAGGAATTAAGGTCAACAATCAACAAGTGGGACCTCATTAAACTAAAAAGTTTCTGTACAACAAATGAAGCAACTAAGAAAGCGAAGAGAAAACCCACAGGGTAGGATAAAATCTTCACTAGCAACACTTCTGACAAACGTTTAACATTCAGAATATATAAAGAACTCAAAACACAAAGAATCAAGAAAACAATGACCCAATTAAAAGATGGGCTAAGGAGCAGAATAGAGCTCTCAAAAGAAGAAATAAATATGGCAAGAAACAGCTTAAAAACTGTTCAACATTATTAGTAATTAGGGAAATGCTAATTAAAACCACTTTAAGGTTTCATCTCACCCCAGACTGGCTAAGATCAAGAGAACAAATGATACCAAATGCTGGTGAGTATATGGAGAAAGGGTAACACTCATTCACTGCTGGTAGAATTGCCAACTTGTGCAACCCCTATGGAAAGCAGTGTGGAAAACCCTTAAAAAACTAAAAATGAACCTACCATATGAGCTGGTTGGCATATACCCAAAGGACTTGTCCTATTGCAGAGATACTTGTACTTGGTTGTTGCTGTTTTTTTCACAGTAGCTAAGTGATAGAAGCAACCTATGTGTCCCTCAACTGAGGAGTAGCTAATAAAGTTCTATTCAGCAGTAAAGAAAGATGAAATAATGAAATTTGCAGGTAAATGGATGGAACTAGAAATTGTTACACTAAGTGAAGTAACATAGACTCAGAAAAACAAACAACATATGTTCTCCTTCATTTGTGGATCCTAGCACCAAATCCTTATGTGATTATGCATCCTAATGTAACTGCAGGAACCAGGAAAATGGAAAAGAATGGGGGGGGGCGGGGTAAAGGGAAAAAAGGAACAAGAAAGAGAAGAACAGGAGGAGATAGGTGTTACTAAGGGAGAAATGTGTAAAATGGGGGTATATAAATGGAAGGGGGAGAGGGAGGATTATACAAGGAACTATAGGGAAGAAGGGAAAGGAGGAGCTCAAGAGAGGTAGGACCATAGCAGACAGGAATTATCAAGGGAGAAATGGGGAAAATGGGGATACTTTAAATGGGGGTATGTTTGTGGAGGGAGGGTTAGAGAAGAAGAGACAGAGGAGAGATTAAATAATGCCTAGCTAGTATTAAAAAACCAGAGTAGTTCAAAAACCTACTGAAAAATTACACATATAATACCTCTATATGAGTCCATGTATATAGGTGAAGGCTACATAACAAGAAATAGTGCCAGACAGGAGAAACCTTTCTTTGAGTTGTTGACCAGGGTAGTGTAAGAGACTCCCAAAATTACACAGGCTATTGTCACAGTCCTTGATTGCCTCCCAGAACTTGAAAGTAAGACCCTATTGCTGAAGTCAGGACATATTTTGGACACAGGATTGGGAGCAATGGAGCTGGACCTGACCTGGAAGCCCCTCCCCTGAAGGCTAGCTCTCAGTTTTGGAGAGCATTACATGAACATGAATCGACAGTCCAACCACAGCTTCAAGGCTTAATAATTATATCAATGACCGGCACAGCAAATGACATTGGTACAGTAGTGGCACTTTTATCCTGGGGGTGATCAACAGCTACTTAATTGGACTTAAAGCCCACTCACTGAGAGGAAACTCATGTGTGGTACTGTAAACATAGCCAAATACTCATGGCTGGAGAGTTTGTAGATCTCAGAGAAAACCCCAAGGCTGTAGCATCCCTAGGCAAATGTAATTTCTTACTATGTGCAAAATATGGATCCTTAAATTTACAGACAGGTATGCCAGTTACCACCCATCAAAGAAGCTTCTTTTTCAACAGAGATTATCACAGAATTCCACAACTGGTCATACACAGAGACTGACTGTGAATTTTCCAAGTCTAAGGGGCACATCTATGATGGAACCTTAACACCTACAACATACAGGAAGGGATGTAGAGAACACTAATGCATCTTTCAATTCTCATCAATGAAGCTCCCTCATGCAACAGAGGGCCAGGAACACAAAAAGTCACAAATGCCCAAAATGTAGAGAATAAGGGTCTATAGAATAGAGTGTGGGTCCTTGGACAGAACTCCTGTATTAAACTCCACCCACCCAGGGCTCAGGGACCATTGCAGAAGAGGGGGAGGAAAGACGGTAAGAGTCAGGGAGGAGGTGCATGACCATATATAACTAGAGTCCTACAGGCTCCTGGGACCCTTCTCATATGAACCTACAGCAATGGTGTCAGCATGCACAAATGCAAACTCAAGCAGACAAAAACCCAGTACAGAACTGGAAATGGACAGCAGGCCCCAATCTTAGTCAAAAAATTATTGGCAGCTGATTACTGCTAGGTGAGGAAGAGCTGATCTTCTTAAAGGGAGGAATTCTAGATAGGCTGACTAGACCTCAGTAGATGGACTTGCAGTGAGAGACATCTGGGGACACTAACTTGACATGATAGGTCTTCACACAAATGGCAGAATGTATGAATTCTAGTGGGTGGGGCTATGGGGGGGTGCCAATGGGGAAGAGGGCATAAAGATGATTAAGATGTTCTGTGAAAATTCAATAAAAAATTGGAAAAAAAACCTTCCAAGCCACTACAGACTAATGCTCTCTAAATTTATTTATGTATTAATTTATTTATATTAGTGTGCATATTTATTATTATTATTATTATTATTATTATTATTAGTGTGTATGTATAAGCATGAGTGTACCAGAGAAGAACTTTGTGGACAGTCCCCTCCTTCTACCTGTATGTAGGTTCTTGGGATCGATCGATCGAACTCAGGTGGAGAGGCTTGCTTGGCAAATACTTTACCCTCTTAAGTAATCTCGCCAGTCCCAGACTGATGTTTTTATAGTATACAGTAAAAATGAATTAGAGGAAAACAAAAGGGAGGCAGGGGGCATGAGGAGGATGGGGGGACAGACAACTGAAAGCAAGGTATATGACATATACCTGAAAATGTCAGAATAAAACCCATTACTTTGTATGCTGACCTAAAAAAATAATGTTTTTTTAAAATGACTAATGAAAATCAGAACAACAAAATGTAAGCCCACTTATTTTTTTTTATAGGATCACTATGCCAAATTGCTGGAAACATTTCCAAACTTCATCTCAAGTTCTATACTCCCCTCTTCATGACCAGACAAGCTCAGAATGGCAGACCGCCTGAACACTTCCAACCCCTCCAGCATTCCAGGACAGCACACACACGGGCCATGCTTCTGGGTCTGATCAGCTCATTTCTTCTTCACAGCCACTGTCACTACCCACACCTTACACATGTCGAAATTAGGGCTCACGGCTGGAAAGATGGCTCAGTGCTTAAGAATGCTTATTGCATTTATTCCTAGCACCCACCCTGGGTGGCACACAACCACCTGTGACTCCAGCTCCAGAAGATTCGAAGCCTCTGGTCTCTGCACACACCTGCACTCATGTACACATATCTACACACACACACACACACACACACACACACACACACACACACACACCCTATACACATACACATAATTAAAAACAAATCTTTAAAAAATTAAATAGAACTAGGGCTTAGAGAGGTTGAGTCTACTTAAGATTATACTGTAAAATACTTGGCTGGACTGGGTCCAAACCCAGACCCCCTTGTCTAAAGTGTGTGCACGGCACTCTACATTGTTTCCCTAAGATACCCAGCAAGAACCCACACAATTAGCGTTTAACTTCCTATTTAATTCATCGTATCACTTATGTAGTCTATAGGCAACTAAGCCTTGGATTTTCCTCTGTTACCGTACTGTTTCCCAGTTCTCTGGGCACTCTAATTAACATAATTAATATCATGGAAGTCACATCAATTAATTAAACATCTGGAAATAGAGTAGGTAAAGATGAAAAGGAGAGATGGCTGCTAAATTAAGACATGCAAGTATCTTTACTCCACCCTTCGAGTCATGACAGAGGGTGAGGCGGCTAGACAGCGCCTGATAAAGCTTACCTTGCCCAACTGCTGAGTGCATTTTTTCCATGTCAAATTTAATTTTGGATCTTCCTGGAGTGCTTAGCATCTTTTCCCACACTGCAGTTACTTCTTTAAGACAAGGAGTGATTTCTTCATAATCAAGCTTCAGGCGCTTGTTCAGCAAATCATTCTCAGAGGCTGGAAGAGACGAGGGGAGGGCATGTTAGAGCTACAGTCTTCTAGCACCCAATGCGGCCCCTGCGCATTGATACTGGAATGTGGAGCATATGCAGCCAATGCAGTAAGTCAAATTGAAGTCTCTTGGGTTTTTTTGTCTTAAAAATGCTAAAACCCATCTTTGGCCATACCTCCCTAACTGTGCGCCATCCCAGAGCTTAATGTAGAGTTGGACCTGGTTAGTACTTACCTGGAAGAAATGTGAGAAGCCTAGGAAATGGTTTTGATTTCTCTTAAGCATATATGCACAAGGTAGCCTGTCAGCCCTCCTGCTAAGGTATATCCCACTTGTGTCTAATTCTGTACATCTTCACAGCTACCCTACCATATCATCAACACCTCAATGGTGTTTCTAGTACTTGGCATGGCTGACTCAAAAAACTCTTTTTCATCTAAGCTAGGAAAGACAGTCTATGTCCCTCTCTATTTTGAGCCATATCTTATTCAGGTATTGTCAATCATTAATCATGGCTTTGCTTTCCAGCACTAAGGCAGAATAGATCTCCCCTTTCATAGGACATCGCCTCATGCCTTTGAAGACAGCTATGGAGTCTCACCAAACTGGTTGAAATTTGCATTAAGAATTAGACCTATTCCTAAAACAAGGAACTCCAGATAGGCTGAGTAGATTCAGTGGATGGACAAGCACTGGGTAATGGCTGAGGGCACTGATAACACAGTGGACAGTAATGAGGATGACAGAGTATATGGGCTCCAGTTTTGGGGGGAGGGTGGAGCTATGGGAGGATGCCATTTGGGATGCGGGTATAAAGATGAGTAAGATTGTTTGGGATGCTCTGTATGAAATACACACACACACACACACACACACACACACACACACAGTTTAAAAAAAAGAAAAAGAATTAGACCTAGAGACTGGGGAGAGTGTTCAAGGGTTAAAAGCACTGGCTGTTCTTGCAGAGGACTGGGGTTCAGTTCCCAGGAGCCACATGGTGGCTAACAACCACCCATAATTTCAGTCCCAGGGGATCCAACACCTTTTTCAGACCTCTGTGGCCACTGCATGACATGAGCACACTTACATACATACAGGCAATACACTCATACACATAAAAATAATAAAATATTAAAAAATAATTAAACCAAAATTATCAAGCTAGAAGGAAAACCAGTAAGAAAGAATTTACACTGGCCATTTAAATTGATCTCCCAGTGCAATTCCCTACTTTAGGGTCACACACCTGAGACAGAGAGAATACATAGGTTCTCGAGGACTATTTAACTAACACTGGGTGGCCACATGTTGCCCCACTCTTAGCCTCTACGGGTCTTACCTAACATCTTTTCTCTTTTTGCTCTGACTTTAAAGAATTTTAAAGTCCTACTAAATAGTTCCCTATACCTCTAGAATTCACGTTTTAAAAACATACCAATCGTGGATTTTTTTTTTTTTTCCGGCTATGAGAAAACACAATAAACGTCATTACATTTGAGCTAATGCTCCGGTAAATCAGTTTCAAGACAAGCATCATCAGTCTAACTAGAGCCCTCACTGGGCTCTCAGCACAAGAATGGCTTTGGTGGCAATGAACTTTGCTGTTAAGCACGTCTGCCTTCCCCAACACAGCCCAGCACCCAACCAGAAGAACTTGCTCCAAAGTCCAGAGAATTTCACACAGCCAGGAAGAGCTGGCCAGAAGACTTGGCAAGAGGCATAATCTCTGCTGCTTCTGAATCCTGACTAAACAGGAGCCTATAGTCAATCAGTGGCCCCTGGAATGCTTTATTAGCAGAGCAATGGCACAAACCTACAGCACACAGCAAGGCTCCAAGGCAGGAACACAACCCTTCACATATTGAGAGCCTACATACCTACATTCTCTGTGAGCACCGGCAAACAGGACAGAATTAAATCACATGGAATCTTTCAAGAGTTTTCTAAAACAGCATGGCTATGTGAACTAACTGGGACTTCAAGACTTCTGGTCAGTTTTGAAGTATACCCGCAGGGCAGGGCATGCTGCTGGTGCTCTGTCCCCAGTCTGCTGTTAAATATTCCCACATGCAAAACTCTCTTGCCAGCAACTACCACCATCCCTTATAAGTTAAGAAATAAAAAGGGACAATTATTAAATGACCATCATACGTGCAGTAGAGATTTAAAGAATACTTAATTTTTTTCCTACAACAAACATTACTCAAGGAAAAAATTTTATAAATTAAAATACCTTCAACTGCAATTCAAAATTTAATGTGTCATTATGGAGATGCAGTATGTATAATTATTATTTAAGCATAAAATGTTAAGTTGTATGAATTAGTTTGACAGGCAATGACATGCCCATGTTGTGCTGTCCTACATTAGGCTGTACACATTTGTATTTTAAAACATGAGGAACATGACCTTACATCAAGAGACATCAGAGAGCTTACACAGGAGATTATCTCTGCAGATTATCTCTGCAACTGGGAAAAAAAAAATCACAAACTCAGCTGTCAAGTGTTACAACAGAGTGAGGCAAATTTAGATGATGGGGTTTTCTTCTTTCCAAGATGGAATGCCTCCAGAAGAATATTGGATCCATATAGTCAGAAAGTAGGAGACAGGCTTGGCTAGAAAAAGACTTCCTCATGTGCGTTCCTCTATTTTCTTTCCCAAAGAGCATGCACGCCGGTTTGAACCTTCTGTCAATTTCAAGAGCTGCTCATAGCTGCAACTTAACCTTTTATGAAGTGTATGGGGGAAAAAAAATCAGTGAATAACAATCTCTGGTAGACAGTGCACCCTCTGATTGGTTCTTGCCCCATCTTGCTTTGGTATTTAATAAGAAAGTCCTAGCCCCACCCCAACTCATTCCTATGCATAAATATTTTTAAAGAAGCAGGCTGCTATGGTTATTTTTTTCAGTAATACAGGTATAGCACAGACCAATACAATGGACTAATGCTTCCTTTATTATATTTAGCAAGTTGATTACACTTTAAGTACAAAATAAACACATGCCAAGCATAAAGAGCTGAGGGACATGAATTCAAACAGTAGAAGTCAAACGCCACCAGAATGAACACTGCCAGGTAGACTGCTGAAATGGGGAAGCAGCCGGTAAACTTGACACAGCGTCTGGCAAGGTGTCCAGGCAATCCAGCATTCTTACCTGTTGGTGCTGGTCTGTCTAGTCAGCCTTGGCACAGCAGCATGCACCTTGCTTTTGAGGCATCTCACTTCATCAATTATAGACACAATGTCTCCTAACATTCCCCAGAGACAGCCAGCCTCTTTCCCTTCTATAGCTACATCCACACTTTTCATTTCACATAACTGTTGCTCGCAGGACTGGCCAAGAAGCATTAAGTACCATGACCCTTATGATTAACATTACTGCTTTTTCCCTTTCAACCAAAACCCCAAAATACACAGCTGTCACTTAGCTGATGTCATATTTAGTAATACTACGATCATCCAATGTTTTTACTTATTATCATTGTGTGATGTGTGTGAGGGCAGGTGTGTGTGTAAGTCGGAGGAAAACCTGAAGTTAGTTTGCTCCTTCCACCACGGGTTCCAGGAATCAAACTCAGGTAATCAGACTTGTGTGACAAATGCTCTGACCCGCTGCACCATCTTGCAAGCCCATCAGATATTTTTAGATGCCTGCCTTTAGAATTACCTTAAAAGCCACTTGTGGTGGTACAGGCCTTTAATTCCAGCCCTCATGAGACAGAGGCAAGCACATACCTGTGCCATCCAGACCAGCCTGGTCTACATAGCAGGTTCTAGGCCAGCTGGGGTTACAGGGAGATACTGTCTCAAAAAACAAAAACAAAACAAAATAAAACAAAAACCAGAATTACCTTTAAAGAGCACTCAAGAAAATAGTAGAAGAAAATAGGAAAAACTTTGTGCTGACCCATTATAAACTGCCCTTCTTGTACCCTCACTGTTCATGGCATCCTGACAGAACAATCTATCTTTCTCAGTTTCAATACTCTACAACTGCTGGCTTCATCTCCAAGCAGCTGTTCCAAGTGCTGGACTATCATAGCAATAGGTTCTATTACATTTCACCTCTTCCTGGTCAAAAGTAATACATTCATAAAAAAGTAAATAGTCATACATTCACCTTGACTTTTTTTTTTTTTTTTTTGGTCTTTTTGAGACAGGGTCTCCCTGTAGCCCTAGCTGGCTTGGAGCTATGTAGACCAGACTGGCCTTGTACTCACAGAGATTTGCCTGCCTCTGCCTCCCAAGTGCTGGGATTAAATGGTGTATGCCACCATACCTGGCTCATCTTGACTCTTTATGTCTTTACGTTTCACCAACCTGTGCCTTTCTTAGCAGCATAAGCTATGTTCCTGATACATGGTGCTGCTGTAACTCACAAATACCTGGTGGTTGTACAGAGACCATCAACCTACTCACTGTGACACTAGCTAGAACAGCATCAGAGGTTTCTGCCTAACAGGACCTTGTGGGATACAGTATACCCTGGAAATTTATGCATTAGAACAGGGGACTTAGCACTTTCAGCTCTAGTCAAACACCAGGGTCATTATTATAGGACAAAAGCATGTGACTAAGGATAATGTTCAATGACACACTCTAATTATGAAATTGCTTTAGACAATGGCAACATGACACCCCCTGCTACAGCCTCCTTTGGAAAAGTGTGCTTGGACTTATCAAGCAAGATCTTCAGGACTTCAAATCCAAGCAGCAGTCTATATACCCTAGGACCTATTCCCTTTCCACAAAGCACATACACTAAGATGCTTAAGTTACTCTGAAGATTATACTTACTGGTTCAAGTCTTGGAATGGAAACAGGAAACAAACAAAATCTACACTTGTTAAGTTCCTATCATATTTTGATAATGTTGATATTTATACAGGTAGAGCTCAGTTATTTTTTCTTCAGGAACTCACTAAAAAGCCACATAGAATGGGGCTATAATCCTTAAGGAATTATAGACCAGTTTATTCTTAACACCCAGGTTGAGCATAAAGAAGGGAGGAAAAAAAAAATCCCACAGAAACAAAAACAAATAAACAAAAAACCCAATCAACCAACCGCTTCAGAGGGTGAGAGCTTAAATGGCAGCTTGTATCTGAGAAGTTCTAGACACTGTGCTATTAATGGCCACATAGCAATAAGTAGCCCAATATGTAAGGTCACCTTTGAATGTCCAAAAAATAAAGTACTGACATTACCTTGAAAAAGTAAACAAACATGAAAGACGTTATGTATGTTAGGTCATCCTGCTTATGTGTGGTCTGTTTCACTTCAGAGCTAAGCTCACTAAGATCATTAGTTCTATTCATGTTCAAATTGCCAAACTAACCTTGTAGCTTCTGATTTTCCTTCTCCATCCTGAGCAGCAGAATTTGTTGCAGAATTGCCTTTCTCCATAGCTCTCGAAGCTCGCGTGATGTCCTTTTCTTTTCTTCTGGTACTGGGCCAAATAGTCCATCTTCACATACTGGTTCTAAGGGAGATCGTGGCGGAAGTTCTCCAAGCTCTGAATAATCTGGAAAAGAGAAAGAATATTCTAGAATGGTCTTTTATTCAACAACAAAAAGGATACATTTAAAATTCTGTACCAAGTCAGCAAATTGTTCATTTAGCTAAAACAGGACACCAAATTTAAAATTTTGTTTTGGGGCTGGTGAGCTGGCTCAGTGGGCAATGGCACTATCACCAGTTTGGCAACCTGAGTTTGATCCCTAAGACCATATGGTGGAAGGAGAAAACTGATTCCCAAAAGCTGTCCTCTGACCTTCATGTGTGTGCCATGGCACACGTGCATATGTGCTCGCACACACACAAATAAACATAATAAAATCTTACGCTTTATTATTCACTGGAATAAATTATGTCTGAGCCAAAAATATGAAATAAGACACATCAAATAGTAAGCAAAAGTTAGAGTGGATGAGGAAATGCTTAAAGATACTTTTTAGGGTGTAAAATTATCTTTTGAGGCTGGGTGTGGTGGCACATGCCTTTAATCCCAAAACTCAGGAGGCAGAGGCAGGCAGATCTCTGTGAGTTCAAGGCCAGCCTGGTCTACATAGTGAGTTCCAGGACTGTTGGGGCTACAGGGAGACCCTGTTTCAAAAAGACCAAAAAAAAATTTATTTAATTTTTTAATTTTATGGGTATGAGTGTACCTGTGTTGTGCAGTGCCACGGAGGTCAGAAGAGGGCTTCGGATTCCCCAGGAGCTGGAGTTAAGGGCGGTTCGTAGTCATAGTGTGGGTGCTGGGAATCGAACTGGGGCCTCTGTAAGAGCAGTCAGTGCTCTTAACTGCTGAGCCATTTCTCCAGCCCCTGGTCTTTTTTGAGACAGGGTCTCCTTCTAGCCCCAGCTGATCTGGAACTCACGACATAGACCAGACTGGCCTTGAACTCAGAGATTCGTCTGCCTCTGCCTCCCGAGTGCTGGGATTAAAGGTATGTGCCACCATGCCTGGTGTGTTGGGCATTTATATAGGCAGTCTCACTTATTCACTTATACTGAAAACACTAGAAGGCAGATCATTGCCTGAAAAGGAAACTGGGACCAAATGAATAAGCAGGTGCCCAGGAATCCCACTGTCTGCCTGGCTCAGAAGCCACTGCTTACCACAGATACCACTTCAACACAAGTATTCCCCATGTCGATTTCTAAATTTGTGTATTCACTTAAATCTCCTTACATTTCATGAATCTGTACCTTTCTCTCTGCAGACACTACATTGCTGGTACATACTGTTGCTGTAACTCAAATACCTTACAGCCGTGTATAGGGAACATCCCACCTGCTCACTGTGACCATAGCACTGAAGAGCAGCAGAGGTTCCTGTACAACTCGTAGAATATGACATTCTTTCTTTTTCTTTTCTTTTTTTTTTCTTTCTTTCTTTTTTTTTTTTTTTTTTTTTTTTTTTTTTTGTTCTTTTTGAGACAGGGTCTCCTTATAGCCCCAGCTGGCCTGGAACTCACTATGTAGACGAGGCTGGGATTAAAGGTATGTGCCACCACTCCTGGCTAGAACATGACATTCTTAAGAACTACAGTGTACATTAGACCTTTATAAAGGAGAGCATGGTCTTAATACGCACAGTGAAACAACCTTCACAGGCACTGTAAGCCTTCCAACCAGGCAATATTCAATCTGCTCCAACAGGATTCCATGTTAGAATTCCCCAACAGTCATCAGCACTGACTGCTCACAATCTTTTTTTAAGTTGGATTGGCTTTCCTATTATCAAATCCATGAGTTCAAAGTAATCATCTTTACTAGTCTTAGCAATACTGGATTAAAAATGATAAGCATTAAGTAAGAACGCTTCATGATCTCTGAAGTATTTAAACAAGGAGCTGTAAATTATACAGCTTCCATAGATGCTTAGTGTATTATAATCCTATTAAACAAAAGATTCAATTAAAATATTGTTTCTAAGCCAGGGGCAGTGGGGTGTGCCTTTAATCCCAGAACTCAGGAGGCAGAGGCAGGTAGATCTCTGGAAGATCAAGGCCAGCCTGGTTTACATAGTGAGTTCCAGGCCAGGTGCAGCTACAAGAAGACCTAATTTAAAAAAAAAGGGGGGCGGGGTGAGTTGGAGAGATGGTTCAGCACTGGGTGCTCTTGCAGAGGACTCAGGTTTGATTCCCAGCACTCTCATGGCGAATAACAATTGTCTGTAACTCCAGCTCCAAATCTGACACCCTCTTCTGACCTCCACAGGTGCACTTACATATATGTAGGCAACACACTCATACATACAAATATTATATTTTTCTAAACTTTTAATAAAAATGTTTATACTTAAAGAAAAATAATACAAATCTATTCTGATTAAAATCAAAGATGAAAAAAACACCCTCTTGTAAAGCACATAGAAAATAAAACCAACCTCGACCCAAAGAGAGATGCAGGATGAGACATTACTGAGTGCGATTCAAAGGGAATTCTAGTCCACATCCTTATCTACTCTCACTCTGAAGCTGCAAGTCTTCCATTTGAGCCCTTTCTTTTCTTGTCATCTCTGTTGAACACTTTGTTATGGCTAAAGTCCTACATTATTTCATGGAAGTATTTCTATTCCCACTGGCTTATAGACGATTCTTGTTTGCAGAAGGTAACTGTGGTGAGAAGTCCTGGCTGAAGGGCAGGTGGTGGGACAGTAATGACAGCTGAAGGCACTCTCATGTCAAGGCTCACAGCACCTGAGGCCTGCCAGTCAACAGTCAATTTGTCCTGTCGACCATCAAGTACACATAACCTGGAAATTCTTACCCCTTGAAAGTCTATCTAAAGAGCAAGGCTCCCTTTCCTGGTTTCTATCCTCTAATTCTATCCTCACTCCTTGCCACAGCCTTTCCCTTCCTGCATGTCTCTAACACTGTTATATATTATTTCAAACTCTGAATCATAATGTACAGAGGATATGTAACACAGGCAGGGACAAGGGAATAACCCTAGTGCTTTAGGCTGCTGGGTCCCGGGTGTCAGGTCCTGAGAATCATGGTTTATAGAAACTTATGAACTATCAGCTTTTACTTTGGTACTCATGGAAACTAGAGGTGCAATATAAATATTGTTTGATGATGACAGTGTGAGGCTTAAGACATAAAACTGCCTTCTCAGTGTTCTCTATTGGTGCCTAGTTGTGGATCATCAGGTACAGCTTGTTGGGTGATGAGCCCTTGACACAATAAGTTTGTCTGATTCTCACAGGAATCTTATGAAAGATGACATTATTACCTCCATTTTATAGCCCAAATAACTGAGGTGCAGTGGAGTTTTGTACCATGGCCAGTTAACGAGCTGCAAGTAGAAGCAAGGCATGTCTACCTCCAGAGTAAAATATGCTTATCAGAATATTTCTAACTTTCACAAACAAGCATGTGGAAGTCTTGATAATATGTAGATCTGGGTTCAGTAAATCTGAGGGGAGTCCAGGAGTCTGGGTTTCCACCATGTACTAAATGATGCTGCTATCCCTGGCTGTCCAAGCACACACTGAATAGCAGGGCGCCACTCCACAGTTCTCTGCATTCCCTCACACAGATCTCTGGACTTCTCATTACTGCCCAGAGACCAAGATAGAGAAGCATTGCTTTGTACAGGAGAGGCTGACTGGGGCTCTGCACAGTGAGGGCTGACTGAGCTCAGGGCTATGTCATCCTTGGGCCACATTATTAGTGCCCCTTTTTTAAACACACATGCCTTTTGGGGTTCCAGACCCTCAAGACACATGAGAAATGACATTTACCTCTGATTGCTTGGCTATGGAGACCACAGGTACTGATGGACATAGTTATAACGTCTGTAAAACCACAAAACCAAAGGGCTGTGACAACACGCAAGTGCAGGATTAGGTTTTACTATTCTGACATCTCCTCTAATGACAGGATGTATGGAGAATGCTTAAATTATGTAAGCTTTCAGAAGCATCAGCGTCCAGTGGGCTCTAGGGATTTTAAAAACCAGTTATAATTCACAGGCCCCAAGAGACAATTGTCTCCACTTAAATCATTGTTGTGACATTCCCAAAAGAATTATAAATGCGATCTCTGCTGCTGCACTGACATTTTAGATGACAAATTATTCTCCAACATGTCAGCTGGGCTGCACCCTCCTCTGTCTGCAAATGTGCAGGGACGAGAACGGCACTGCACAGTTACTGGGAGCATACTCAATGTCGAGAGAGGACAGGTGGGGGACCCAGCTTGCCCAGTACCTGGCCGTCAAGAGTGGCCTACCCTCAAGTGGCCTACCTCCTTGTATTCTCTCAAAATAAGGACACTCAGGTTTGTGTGGCAGTTCTTTACAGACTTGACCCTGAGTCCCATGTTAGGTGCCCTGTAAGAAAGAGGAACTCCAAGAAAAACAAAAATGAAGAAACAGAGCATTTCATAACTCTTTCCATGGCCCCTAAAAAATCCTGAACTCCCAGGCCAAATGAAAAAGATTTTTTAAATTCCAGTTATTCTGAAACCTCTGTTTTAACAACATGAGCAGATTTAGGAACCAAGAATGAAAACTGAACATTAAATCTCTGGAGAGGAGTTAACGACAGGGATTAACATCTGCTGCATCTGTTGTTACCAAGAGCTGAAGAAAATGCCTTTAAAAACAAAGCAGAGGGGCTGGAGAGATGGCTCAGCAGTTAAGAGCAGTGGTTGTTCTTGTTGGGGACCTGACTTCAGTTCCCAACACCCACATGGCTGCTGACAACATCCATTACTGCAGTTACAGAGGATCTGACACCTTCTTCTGGCCTCCATAGACACCGCATGCATGTGGCACACTTACATACATGCAGGCAAAACACTCATGCACATAAAATTTAAAAAAAACAAAACCCAAAAGGCAGAATACCATGTAGACTTCACACTCTCAAAGCACTTGCAAAGTACAACCAACTTTCCCTCCATGACAGCAGGCAGGAGAGGCCAGGCAGAGGCCTATATTCCTTGTTACATCCCACACCTGAGGCACAGGGCCACCCAGGAATGAAGAGATTCATTTACCCCAGAC